TTGATCGGTAACACCATCCCCCCTTTTGCCGTTAGACACCTTCGCCAACACCGCCCTTGGGCCAAAGATGACATTCCCCCTTCTGGTGGAGGCGCTGCCACCACGACTCTCACCACCACCACTTTGATTTCTGTCACTTTTATCCGCCGTATCCATTTGGTTGGTCGACATTTCCAACTCCATTTCTTGCAAATACGCCAAAACAAGATGGCCAATACCAACACCATCGGATACCCCGCTGCTCAACTTGGCCCCCAGGTAGGCACAAACTACTCTATGATACATATCCGTCGCATCAAACCCTTCACCTTCCTCCGCCTCTTCTTCTTCTTCTTCTTTTTTCTCCTTTCCTTCTTCCCCCTCCCCTCCGCCGTCATCCCGAAACATCATTTTGTTTGCCGCCACATTATAGGTAGGAGAAGGGGTGTTCAATGCATAATTAGAATGCAGTGAGGATGGTGCAAAGGCGGATGCATGTTGTTGAAGAAGACTAGCACACTCATTCATTAGCCCTTTATAAATGGCGGCAAAGCTACCAGAAAGCGCCGTAGATGTACCATGCAAGGGCGGTGATGGTAAGGTTGATGGCAACGCCGTGGTGGCCACAATATCCTTCTTGCTTTGTTGCAAAATGCTAATCGCACTGCTAGTAGTAGACCCAGCAGACAGTTCAATGAGTCGTTCCAAGTCCTGCGCGACGGATGCAAGCTCTTTGAGACGTACTCTTTTCCCTAAACCCACTCGCCGCATTCGTTGTAGAATGTGTAGGGAGACACACACCGTGTCCAGAAGATGCATCTGTAACATTTTCTTGGATGGCGGTACCATTTTTTTGTTATTTGTTGGTTTCGTAATATTTCTCGGTTTCACATCGTCCTCCTTCTCTCCGTAGCGTTGCAGCAGAGAAGAAATACTGCAATGACATAAACAGTCATATAATTTCGCATCATTTCCATTGTACAGTACACGATGCATAAGCAGTGTCAACAACAGAACCTCCTCATTCATCATGCCTTCGGTGTGAAGTGTTAATGTTGTGGGAATTTTTTCAGCATCCGCTCCTGCCCCACTAAGTGTTGTCACATTGTAAGTTGAAATGCTGTATAACAGACGTTCAAGCGTTATGCTGGCAAGGAATATTTCATCTTCTGCAGCGGGAGTGCTCGATTGGACAACCACCTGGGTCCGGTTAGACCGCCGCAGTCCGCGATCGGTTTTCCGGCGGCTCGTCGTCTCATTGGCTGCCGATGTCTGCTGCCGCTGCTCCTGTTGCTGCTTACACATCAACTCCAGCGCCGCAAAGTCCTCGGGAGATCCCTGCTGCACCACATCCGGATTCGCCTGCACGTAGGAGCAAATTGCAAAGCGTGCAAGAAACTCCAGCGCCTCAACTGCCCATATACGAAGTTGTTTAATCGACGACATGGATGTCAGTGAGGCGTGCTGTGAAGAAATAAGAGGGCCACTAGTCACGTGGTCCCCAGCCCCTAGAGGCAACGTAGATCCTGTTGCCAATGACAGCAAAAACTGCACTAGCCTCCCCCACACTCGTCTTGCCACGATATCTTTGTTGAAAACCTCTTGTTTTTGCGGTTGCTTTTGCTTTGATTTTGATTGCTGCTTCCCCTGAACCTTGGATTTACCCTCATTCCCTTTTGAGGTTGATGCAGCGGCAGGTGTCGTAGGTGCTGGACGCTTTGGCAGCTCCACTTTGAGTAGCACTTGCCATGCTCGATCAATCATCTCAAGACAATTGGATGGCATTTCCTCCATAATCAGTTCCTGCTCGGCCAGTGCGCTTAATGTCGTTGTAGATCCCGACTGACCTTGCTTGGGCAATGGCACATTCTCTGTCACCCCTATTGACGCGGTATTTCCGGTAGCACTGCCGCCTATCGTCGTGCTCTTCACGTACCATTTATATCGCATTACAGTCAAAAGGACATGATCCATGGCTTGCATCAATATTTCTTGACTGGCCTCTGGTGGTGGCACTGTATCAAGGAACTCAAGATGAATCAACTCCTGAACCTTCCGTGCCGCCCTCTGCGCAACGGAGAGCGCCTCACTATACATGGCCTGTTTCTCATAACAAGCGGCAATAAGGTCGTAGAGGCGAAGACGCCACGGCAGGTACCGCACGGTCGCCAATTTAAGCGTTGCGGATTCGCATATTTCCAAACAAAGCGCAATGTGACGAGTCACGTGCGAAGCGGCGTCACCCACACGTTCCCCCGCTTGTCGCAGCATGTGAAGACACATCTCATAAACCGTAATAGTGCCATTAAAGAGAATGTGGTAGCTGTCATCTGCGTTCAGTCTCGCAATGCCAAGCAGGCATGAAGTCACGGCATCAATATAACTTGCCGCAAGCTTCATGGTCTCTAACTCCCCTTTCGGGAAACCATCACCCCCGGAGTATACACAGTAAAACTGACATGTGTATCGCATGATATCGTACTGCGCCAAAAGACGCCATGGATAAAGAATTTCTTTGGGTTGCGCCGTAACCTTCTCTGCCCCAAAACGCAACACTTGTGTATCATCCGCATCCAGCAGTCCCATCACATTGAATGCGCCTCTAGTAGTGCTTGTTCGTGCCGCAAGCCACGCCGCTTCAACCTTCTCCGCAGCCCCACGCAACACCTGTTGGATGTCCTTTTCCAGCGGATCTAAGCAGACATCGATCACTTCCTCGTATAACCCACGCGCCAGAAGATATTGACCCGCCGCAAGACACTCCTCGGTCATCACCACAACCACGTCAAGCTCTATTGAAGGATGAGTAGGGGATGTAAGAGCTGACGTGCCCGTATGAAAATCGGCGGCTACATCGGCCATTGCAGTCTTCTGTGACGTGATGGCGGTGTTGGTCTGTGTAAAGGGAGCCGAGTCTGACATAAACGGGATATTTTTTGGGCGCAACACCCCGGCTGTACGCTTCTCCGTCTCCTTCCCCGTTCTCTGCCTTCGCTCAGCAATAATGGATGGTGATAAGGTGGCGGGGAGAGATGGGAGGGTCCCTGTACAACTCATCGCGGCGGCACCGCAACGCACGTCTGTGATAAGTTGCCGCAGCTTTCCACGTTGCCGTTGAATGTCAGCGGAATCCGCAGCGTTGAAGTGAAGGCTAACCAAACGTCGTAACTCCAGTTTGAACTTTTTTTTGCATTCGTCCAAGACCGAAATTCCCTCCCGTCGTTGCTTCTTTTCCAATTTTCCACCTCCTCCTTCCGTTATTTCCTCTTTTTTGTTTCGTTGTTGGCTTCCGACCCAACCTGTTGCCTGCATTTTTTTTTTTATCGCCTCACCGAAAACTATCCACGACAAAAAAACAACAACAACAACTAACAAACAAACAAACAAAAGCAAAGAAAACAAGTGAGAGAGAAGGAAAAGGCCGGGCAATGGAAGTAAAGTACACACGTATGCACAACATACAACAACAACAGCCAGAAGCCGCAGCAAATTCACCACACACATGTGATGCTTTCATCAGTCTCTCTCTCTCTCTCTCTCTCTCTCTTTTTCTTTTCTTTTCAAAACGACGGCAAAAATTCCCCCCCCCCC